GTGGTTTTTTCGTTTTGTGTTTTTTGGAAAAAAAAAAAAAAAAACGAAAAAGGAGCGGTTTTCTCATTTTTCTACTTTCAATATTAAATCAAAAAACTAATGATCGAATGATACACGGGTTTTTCAAATTAAATAAATTGCTTTTTAGTTTTTCAGGTAGATCTAAGAGTAGGGTTAAGATATTTAACTTTTTTCTTTTTTTTTTTCTTTTTACCAATTATCCAAATAATGTTTAATCCTAGAAAGCTATTATTATCAGAACACGCGAGCAACAATACTGTACTACATCAATGTTTCCTGTCGGCTCAATTTTTGAGTGGACTTTGCTGTTCCGATGAGCATGAACGGTATACGAGTGGAGCTGAGTGGAGAGCACACGCATAGAGTGGGATAATACGCAGAGCGTCACACCACGTGAAAGTGAAACCTGAGCGGTGGACTAATTTTCGGCAGCCGAAATTTCGGTGCATCTCTAATTATTGGCGACATCAGAAATGGATATTATATAATATATGCCGCGGCACCCTGGTTGAGAAACACTGACCTATCTAACCATCCATCCATCAGTCTATCCATCAATCATTCTAAATTTTCCTCGATCTATCTATCTATCTATCTATCTATCTATCTGTCTGTCTATTGTCTGTTTGTCTAACCATCCATCCATCAGTCTGTCGATCTATCATTCTAAATTTTCCTTGATCTATCTATCTATCTGTCTATCTATCTATCTATCTATCTATCTATCTATCTATCTGTCTGTCTGTCTGTCTGTCTGTCTGTCTGTTCTATCGTTCTATTGTTTTATCGTTATATAATTCATCTCATACCTCGCTGTAAGTTCCGTCAGGATTGCAGACAGGAACGAACACCTGTGGGAAGAGTTTCTTGGCTTGCTGTTCTGTGTATTTCTTCTCTGCTACACACCTGGACGTATCTGGAGACACAACACAGGTAAATCCAGCAAGTCCGACAAACTATATAACCATCCATGTTATTGTATGGCAAAAATAACACATTCTCATGTCTTAATTTGGTCAGTCAATTCATAGGTAATTTGTTGTGAACTGAAAATGTTCTTTATCCTTATTATCCTGATTATCAAACAGCTAAGTAGTTAACAGTGAGTCAGGACTGCCACTGGAGCCCTCTTAAAAAATGCATGACACGTCTGCTTTGGAGACCTTGAAAAGTACTATTAACTTGATGATTCATTTGTTCACAAACTCTGTCCATCCTCTTTTCTATATATAAACTTAAACTTCATTTCCCATTATTCCACTTTAAGCACACAGTCACTATTCTGCTCATCGTGTCAGTGTAATATAGAAAACAGAAAGTCTGCAGAGAGCGAGTGCATTAAATTCAAACCGACAGGCGAGTCCTCTGGCGTTCTCTCTCTGACTGATGTGGCACGGGTGTTTTTTCTTTTCTTTTTTTCAGAGGAAAGGAAAGAATGGTAATGGCGAAAGAAAATGAAGCAGGAAATAAGACTTGGTTTCTTTTGCAGTGACATGTGACCTCTCAGACACAGAATAATTCAAGATGTTTCGGAAGTGCTGGATCCCTGTGTGTGGTTGGGAATTAGACCAACAGTCCTACTGGAGTCATCACTATCTCTATACCAGTCCAGTGGTAAAACTATCACAGATCTCGCTCTGTCATTCTGTGTTAAGTCTGTGTGAGCTGATGGTGTCCAGCAGGTTGTAATGCATCTGTATGTACATTTATGTGTGAGTGTGTGTGTGGATGTCGTTGTTGTGGCTGGGCAGAAAATCTTCCAGACCTCAGTGGAGACATAAACTCACTCTCTCCACTGGGCAAATCATTAAAACACTTTTAGTCCGGGATGGCACGAGAGGATAAGCAAGGAACTCAGTGAAAAGTATGGTATACGATGTAAATGCTAACCTATGTATATACTGTATCATTCAGTTCTGAAAAAAAAAAAATCACTAAAACATAGTACTTAAAATTAGCCATTTTACCCAATGTTTGTGTGCATTATGTAGACATTTAGACATTTAGTCATTTTGCAGACGCTTTTATCCAAAGCGACTTACAATTTGGGGATGCATAAAGCGATTCTTCTTAAAGAGGCAAACAGATACAGGAAGTGCTTGTAATACCAAGTTTCTAGACATTGTTCAAATAAGTACAAGCTAGAAAGAGAAGGAATAAATAAAGAGAGAGATTTTTTTTTTTTATTTATTTTTTTTTTTTTAATGATGATAATGAAGTCAAGTAGCTTCGAAAGAGATGAGTTTTCAGCTGTCGCTTGAAAATTGTCAGGGATTCAGCATTCCGGATAGGGGTGGGAAGATCGTTCCACCAGCCAGGAATGGTGAACGAGAATGTTCTGGAAAGTGATTTTGAGCCTCTCTGTGATGGTACCACGAGGCGTCGCTCACTAGCGGATCTCAGACTTCTGGAGGGGATGTAGATTCGTAGTAGTGAGTGGAAATAGGTGGGTGCTGAGCCTGTGGCTGTTCTATATGCAAGCATCAATGTCTTGAACTTGATTCGAGCCGCGACCGGTAGCCAGTGCAAGGAGATAAAGAGAGGTGTAACATGGGCTCTTTTGGGCTCGTTGAAGACCAGTCGTACCGCTGCATTCTGAATCATTTGTAGAGGTTTGATTGTGCTTGATGGAAGTCCAGCCAGAAGAGCATTGCAGTAGTCCAGCCTAGAAATGACAAGGGCCTGGACAAGAAGTTGTGCAGCATGCTCCGTTAGAAAGGGCCTGATCTTTCTGATGTTGTGCAATGCAAACCTGCAAGATCGAGCGGTCTTT